AGAAGAGAGAAGAGAGAAGAGAGAAGAGAGAAGTGGTAAATAGACTATAGAGTAAAAGAAGTGGTATTTCGCTACCACGTGCTGGAGCGGGGTATAGCAAACCGATGAGAGGCATGGCGTAAGGGCGGGACCGCATGCAAATATCGTCGCCGGTCCATGCGTCACTCACAAAGAAGCAGACCGAAAATTGCACATCCTGCAAGGATCAAGGAGAAGTCGATCAATCGAACGCCCTCGGCTTGGACATGTAAAAGCGGCACGTACCTGGAGAAAGATGACCAGCGAGGTCAACTGCGAGGCGAGATAGATGTCTACAAAATTGTCGACCCCGACCACCGGCGACACTATGATCTTGTACACTCTGATGATTTCGGGCGCGAGGCGCACCAGGTCAGTCAGCCTTTCAAGCCCGACAATCAATAACATGAGTCAGCTGTACCGGCGTATCAGCCAATACTTGCACGTAGACTGCTGAACGAGCATCACCAGGACCACCTGCATGGGCATGCGCGTTGGTTCTGAGGTGAGTATACGCGGTAGAGGCCACCGCACGCATCACACGACACATTTAACGTACGAGTAGACCAAGACAGCCGGGGAACACCTGGTAGGGGATATCATCCATCCACTCCAGCGGCACCGGACTGATGGCCGAGAGCAGATAACACACCACGAACAGCAGCCACGCGACTGTGAACACGGCGGCCGATTCCATCACCTGCAGATGGGCTGCGGTTAGTGTACTGGAAAGGCCCCAGAACCCAGAAATGTGAGGCACTGGAGAGAGGCGCTGAACCTGCTGCCATGAAATGTGGGACCGCATGTCGAAGAGGAAGATGAGCGCGTAGCTGACGCGATACTTGGTCCACGTGTACATGTCGATGCCCCAGCACCAGTTGAGGATGATGAGCAGCCACATGCCACGGAACATGATGAACACGTCGTCGGCTCGCTTGTGATCCAGCCCGCTGTTGTCCTTGGCCCCCAAGTAGATGAATATCATCGTTATCATCAACAGCAGGACTGTTGACAACCCAGCCGACAAACCTGGCAGTCCCAACGCACATAGGCGCAAACCGAGTGAGAACACGCGATAAACAATAATGAAAAATGATAATAATAATAATAATAATACGGCCCGGTACCAAGTCGGAAGGTGGACCATCCAAGCTTCTTCTTCTGCCAGAAGGGGATTCGCAGCTTCTTCATCGCTTTCTGCCGGCTCCCCTCGGTGAAGCACTCACTGAACACCCGCTCCGTCTCGGCCTTTATGATCAACAGATGTCGCATATCTTGGTGGCCATGAGATCAGGCAGACATCAGCCATGCAACTCAGCATCAATAGTTGGAGGGAAATGATGTGTAATGAACGAAAGAAGAAGAAGAAGAAGAAGAAGAAGACCCTACCGGCGAATCTGTGCTGGGCCTTGATCCTCTTTATATACAGGAGTCGGGTCGTAGTGCCGGTCAGCTGCGCGGGAAAGACAGTTTAGAATAAAAGAGCCCTCATAATGCTATATACGAAGCTGGATAGGTTAGATACCTTGTCGTGCTTTTTCATGACCTTGTCAAATCCAGACAGGTTCAACTGGACGTCGCGTCGTGTGGGTGTTATCAGGTCAGTGCCGGCACCATGTGATTTGGACTTGCAAGGAAAGTCTCTGAGCGTTTGGGTGCGCATGCAGTACCTTGCAAAAATTTTCTAGCAAACAGAGGCCCCGATAGAACTCCTTAAAGGCTTCGACCAGCGACTTGCGGTGGTGTCTTATCGTGGATTTCGTGAACACCATCTTTGTAGCGCAGCAAGAAGCGGGAGGGGCGTGAGTGATTGGCAAGCTGCGAAAGAGACTGCAGTCACGCTCTCCCGCCATAACAGAAGGAGCATTAATTTGAAGAAGTGGGGTACGTTATTGTTTGGGAAGACCACGATTTCGTTCTTGCCGCGCTGCGGGGACGTGTCCTTATCGGCAAACTCGCGGAGAGTTTTGGCTCTGCTCATCAACACATCGGTGAACACCGCTTAGAAAACTGGTAACGATGCATGGGATGGCGGATAAGTGAAGAACCTGGGAAGGAACCACCGCTGCCTCTGGTGCGTTCGTGGCGTGGAGGGCTCGTCACCGTGCGCTGTAGGTTGACAAGAGTCTCGTTAACTCCCCATGAACCGCCCGAAATACCAGACATTGTGGTTATACAAATAGAGTACGCGTACGTACGGTCATCGAGGCTCATCCGGACCGTGATGACGTCTTCGGTCTCCGCCGGCGCTGTGTCGCTGCCCTCGCAGGCAGCTGCGCCCTCGCCCTGCGCTGCAGGGTCGTCCTGGAAGTCGTAGGCCGTCGCCTTGGTCCTGGTGATCATCTTCTTCAGCCGCAGCCGCCGCAGCACCCGGACACCGTAGAGGATGCGCTCTCGCCGCAGCCGCCGCAAATCGCGTCGGTGCTCCCTGGTCTTCTCCACCGGCGAGAGCGGCGTTGTTCGGAATGCGCGCTGCTTCGTCTCGCAGCCTGCCGCACTGCTGGTCGTGGTGGTGCTGGGCTTGCGCGAGGTGCTGGCCTCTGCGGCGGCGGCGGCGGCGGCGCTTCGCTTGCGCTCCATCTGTATGAGCCGAGTCCCTAGCGGTGACGTGGCCTGGCCCTCGATCTGGCCTCCGCCGGCGTTATCGCTCTCAAAGTCTATGTCGTCCTCCAGCTTGTCGTCGGCCCACTCGTCCTCGGCGACGACGTGGACATCGTTGATGTCCTGCTCGACCTCCTCCTCGACGCTGCCCCGGCTGCTCACAGAGCTCCGCTTTCTGCCGTCGGAGAGCTCCGACAGCTCGATCTCGACCATGCCATCCGAGTCCGGGTCGACACCCGACCGAGCAAAGCTGACGCTTCGTGTAGGTATGACGCCCGCGCCGAACTGCCGCTGCTGCTTCGAGCTCTTGCGGCTCATCTGACCTGATCGGTACATGTTTTGCTGCTGCTGCTGCGACTGGGCGAGCCCACGCTTCTTGGACTTGCCCGTGCTGCCGGTGCTGCTGCGCCTGCTGGACTTGTCGATGTTGTCCTGGCTCTGCTCCTCCTCTTCGGCCACGACGGTGGCGTCCTCCTCAGTGGCATCGCCGAACACCGTCGGGTTGATGTCCCCCATTCGCTCGAACTTGTGGTCGTGCAGCAGCGGATACGCCTGCGGTGTGTATTCTTCGAGCAGTTCCTGCCAATCCGTCACACCGGTCAAACGTCAGCCAACAGCAGATTCACAACCTCCCATCAAACAGTGCGGTTCGAGGAGGTGAGGTGGGAACCATCTTGATGCAGTGCTGAAGCAGCTGATAGAATCTCTTGTGGGCAGCCACGAGCTGATCGAGGTAGAACCGCTCCACGGTCTCGAGGTCCTCCTCGAGTAGGTCGTACAGCTCTCGGTCCTCCTTCATGTTTTCCACCGTGAGCGGCATCTCCTGGAATGCTTCGCCCGCAATGTCTGTTGTGTGCGTGGGTGTGGTGTTGTAGCCAGTCAGCCTTCAGCCCCACCAGCCCAAGAGTGGTGCGTGTAACTCGTCACTCTAATGATGCATCATGTCCGGACATAAAACCACAAATTTAGGACCGAACACGGCGACAAGCAGAAGAAGAAGAAGAGCAAGAAGGACAAGAGGTGGAAAAGAGTTGTGGCAGGGCAAGAAGCAGCGCCAGCAAAGAGTTAATAATTATAAAAATATTTAAAAAAATGGCGATACCGGAAGGGTCGGGACCTTTGAGCTTCTCGAAGGCGTGGAGGTAGCTCTCGCGAGCGGCGGAGATGCTCTTGAGCTGGCCCTTCATCATCTTGTAGCGGATGTAGCGGTCGCTCCATTCGGGCACCATGCGCTGCGAAAGCAGCTTCCCGAACTTCATATCCTCCGCAAGCTGCCGACAACAATCTCCTCTCCCTTCGAGGGATTAGCTGAGGCCTCAGCAAAGGCTGATTCGTTTTGCGGGCTTTGCTATTGAAGAATGGCGGACTTCAATAGAGGCGAACGCGCCTTCCCAGGAAGGCCCCACGCCACAAGAACCTGACTGCTGGGTGGTGGATCAACACCACAAGAAAAGCGAATAAATAATAATAAAAATAAAAACAAGAAACAAGGAAATGCGCGTTTCCCGTCTTCTTTCTCATCTGTTTCAGACACCTACCAAACAAGGACAAAACGTTTGAGTTGCAGAAAGAGAAAAGAAATGCGTCGTGGCCACCACATCAGGACTTGATGAAGTGCTTGAAGGTGCCCTCCTTGGCCTGGGCGGTGAAGTGGGCTTCGAGCTGCTCCTGGATCTTGTGCGTGAGGAGGGTGCTGACCACCTTTTTTCGGAGCTTCTTCTTCTTCATCTTCTTCTTGTCGTCCTTCTTGAGCACCTCCTTGATGGTCTCCTCCCACGGCAGCTGTTCAAGGAACTTCTTGATGAGCGCCTCTTCCGTTTCCTTCTTCTCCTCCTCCTTCTTTTCCTTCTTGCTCTTCTTTTTCTCGTCGTCGCTCTCCTTCTCCTCTTCGATCTTCCTCTTCTTGCTCTCCTTCTTCCTTTCTTTCTTCTTCTCCTCCTTCTCTTCGTTGCGCTTCCTCTTCTTCTGTGACTCCTCCTCCGCTTCCTTGGCCTTGCTCTCGTCCTTCTTCTCCTCTTGCGGCGCTTCCTGTGTTATATTCTGCTGCGTGGCAGCCGGCTGCTGCTGGGCGCCGCCGTTCTGCTGCTGGTTCCGTTGCTGGTTCTGCTGTCCCCTTCCCTGTACGATTGTCCCACGCACATAACACAGACGGCACACACGGCACGCAACGCACAGCTCAGTAAGTCGAAGGCGAAAAGAACAAAGAACGAAGAAGATGAAGAACGAAGCGGCAGTGATGCTGGTCGAGGGCACAAGCTTAGGAGAGGAAGAAGGTTGACAAAAAAAAAGAGAAAAGGAGAAGACACAGGAGGCCTGTAAGGCGTGCCTTCTTGGGTCCGCGGTAGAGGGCGCCCTGGTACTTCTGCTCCTCCGAAATGCAGGTGTTATGTGCGCTGTAGCCGTTCCCGCTGAAGGTGGTCAAACAGTCCAGGCACGACACGGTGCCACCACACCTGCAGGTGCAAGATGGAAGCCATGGCCCACATCGGCCGTCACTTATCTTTAGAATTGATGAAAATCTGGTGAAAAAGAAATAAATAAAAGCAATCCATACCTCCACATGTGGTTGTTCACTTGGTTCTTCTTGAGCACATCGCCGCTGCGCATTCAAGGAGTGAAAACGAAATGAATGAGGCTAAATCGCGAACCGGCTAAAAAACGAGATTCGCAACGGAAGAGGCGATTACCAGTTGTTACACGAAAAGCTCACCATCTTACTTGTAGAGCGTAGAAGAGGCTCTGAAATTCAATTTCAATGAGATCACTGGTCCGCTCCGGAAGTAATTGAGAACAGTGCGGCTTCACTCGGCAGCTCCGACAGAGCAGCAGAGAAAAGTCCACAGGAAATGGTCTGGAATGCAAAGCACGCGGCGATGATTAATAATAAAAAAATGCAATTTTTATCAGCAACGTTTGCCAGACAGATCTCAGATGAAGGGCGGAGCGCTGCTGGCCTTGCTGGTGGCGTTGGGGATTGGGGTGGGCGTCTACTACTTCCGGACGCACGTGTTAGAGGACTCGGCGTGGGAGCACACGCTCGAGCTCGACAGCTCATCAATTCGTCTCAAGCGCAACCCTGCAAATGGCGGCATATTCGAAATCTATGGCAAGGACCACCTTGATTACGCCCGCGCCTTGGGTACGTCACATAAAGAGGCCGCTTATTATGCTCAGAGTTACTGGATGGAGATGAGAGCCAGGATGGATTTTCTTTTTCCCAATCTGCTACGCGTAGCGAGGAAGCACCTAAGTGGCTTGTCGCAACGGCGCTGCAGGTTACGTGCACGCCAAGGACAGGCTGGTGCAGATGGAGCTGCAGCGCCTGGCCGGTCAGGGTCGGCTGAGCGAGGCACTCAAGAGCGACGTCGGGTTAATTGCCGTGGACACCTACTTCAGGTCCCTCAAGTACGTTGGCGTTCTGCTGCTGCTGCTGCTGCTGCTGCTGCTGCTCGCGTACACACCCAAGCGCTGTCTGTCTCATCACCCGACTTGGTTGCAGTTTTGTGCAGGACGCACGCGAGGCGGTGCCGAAGTTGGCTGCCGACGCAAAGGCGTTCCTCGATGCCTACTGTCGTGGCGTACGCTTGTCTGCTCACACAGTGCCTCCGCAATGGTAGAACGAGCTCACCTCGCGCACTCTGCGCCGTGTGCGCGTGTGCAGGTGAATTTCTACCTCGATGAACACAGCAACTTTTGGGAGCAGCCGATAGAGTTCCTCATGATACAGCACAGGTAGGTCAAACACGCTCAAAGTTCCAGAAGAGTGAGGCGCAGCACGGTTTCAACACTAAGCGACTTTTCTGTCAACGTGCTCGCAGGCCCGAGCCCTGGTCGCCCGAGCACTCGCTCATCACGGCGAAGTTGATGGCTTACGTCGGGCTTGCCGAAACGCAGGTGAGAGCAGCAGCAGCGTCGCACGTCACAGTCAACACTCAACACTCCGTCTTGCTTGGGTAACTGTGAGCGCAGGGAGAAGTTGAGAAGCTCATGATGCAGTCCATTAAGAGTGGAGTGTCGATGGACGCTCTGCGCGCCATCTTCCCGACTCAGCTCAAGAACGTGGAGACCGAAGTTGTGGACTGCATCAAGGAAGCCGACCTACAGATCCCGACCATTCCAGGTAGGCCGCCTTACTGCTGCGATGCAAGATGACGATGACGATGGCGATTAGCACGACTGATTCATTAATCGCTACTCACGCAGTGGAAGTCAAGTTCGCGCCATACATTCCGGCGTTCAAGGCGAGCAACAACTGGGTCATTGGTCCCCAGCTCACCAAGTCTGGTTCTCCCCTGCAGGTTCGTTCGTTGTTGTCATCACCACTTAAATTTTCGTTTCGTATTGCACGGATGGCTGACTGAAGCCCGTATTGATGCGTTCAGTGCTACGACCCGCATCTGGATATCGCTCGCCTTCCTGCGATTTGGTATGAGTTTGTGTTCCACTACGAGACTCCGGGTATGGCCGCGCTCTTAGATCGGGGTCTTGTGTAAGCGTGTGTTCCTAACCGATCGTCGCCCCGGTGTAGCGAAGCGATACCTGATGGGTGTGTCAGTTCCCGGCATGCCAGGTACGTCGTCGAGATCAAGAGTAATTACCAGCATCTCCTAACTGCCGTTGCTTTTTCTTTTCCTCCTATCTACCTATCTACGCCAGGCATCTTCTTTGGGCGAAATAACGACGTGACCTTCGGAGTGACCTACGGCTTCATGGACCAGATCGATTTCTTCTTCGAGAGGGTCCAGAACGGCAAGTACCTGCGCGAGGTGGAAACCACCGATGAGCAGGGCAATAAGGTAGGGTCTTCAGGCTTCTCAATCAAAGCCGGTTTTGATTGCCCACTCACTCAAACCAATTGCCTGTGGGGCAGGTGGTGCGCCAAGAGTGGCACGAATTCCAGGTGAGGAAGGAAATCCTCAAGCAAAAGGAGGGCGCCGATGTCGAGCTTGTCTTCTACGAAAACGACAACGGCGTTATCGAGAGGAAGTCGTACACGGGTCCGCTGCCCGATGGACTGCACTTGACCAGGTGCCTCCGCAAGCTCTTCGTTGGGCATAGTGTTATCGTACTTATCACTGCCACTGGCGCTCAATGCAGGAAGTGGGCTTGGCGTGAGTTCGAGGCGAGCGACACCTCCGTCCTATACCCTCCGCCGTCGGACATCAAGACCGTTGCTGAGTTCCACGACATCGCTCGTAACGTGCCGCTCTCAGCTAACTGGCTGAACGCGGACAGACAAGGTATGGGGGAGGGGAAACACACTCCAAGAGTTACCCTCTTCTCTAATCATTTTCGTTCACTCCTTGTGTCGCCACAGGCAATATCGGCTACCAGCAAAGCGGCCGCTTGCCTGCACGGGATCCTTCTGTCAACTCGGCTCTTCCGCTTCTTGGATGGAAGGCCTCGCACAGGTGCGCTCCCCAGCCTCATCGCGTTGGTACATCTACTGAACGCTTGGTGCTCACCTGACCACTGTCACAACAACCCCCCAATTTATTCAGATGGAACGGCTCGGTTGACACCAATCAGCTGCTCCAGGTCATCAATCCTGCCAAGGTACTCATCCGACTTAGGACTACGCACTGCGTGATCAGGGCCACCGACTCACCGTGATCCACATAATACTTGGCGTGCGTTGTATCTTCATCTGCAAACAGGGGTATCTGGCCACGGCCAATGACGACCTGCAGAACCCGGCACCTGGTGCGCCCAAGGCGATCAACTACCACATGGGCTTTTATCGCGTGTCGAGGATCAACGAGTTGATCGAGAACAAGGGCAAAGACCACCTTGAGACTCCCGACAACGGCAAGCCGACTTGGGACGAAGAAGACATGAAGCGATTCCAGCTCGACGTCTACTCCAAGCAGGGCGAGTACTACATGGAGCTGCTCGCGCCCATCCTCAAGGCGAAGCCCAACTGCACGAGCTGCAGGACGCTGCTCGAGTGGGACGGCCGCTTCTCGACGGACAGCGTCGGGGCGACCGTGTTCACCCAATTCCGTGAGGCCCTGCTGGACAAGCTCTTCGGCGAGAACGTGTTCGCCAAGGACGTGTGGATGCACATGACCCGCGAGTCGGGCGTCATGCTCGTGTTCCAGTGGTACTTCGACCGCGTCCTCCTGTGGGACATCTTCGAGCGCGAGGGCATCAAGAACGCCTTTTTCGACTTCACCGAGGACAACGCCTACATCCGCTACCTGTGGAACGAGTTCCTGGCCGATCACGAGGACGCCACCACCGGCAAGCCGGGCCGCGAGGGCAAGGACGCAGCGGCGCAAGCGCGCAGGTCCCAGCTTCTGGAGCGCGTGGTCGACGAGTACCTGGTGCCGCGCAACGTGACGCGGGAACGGACCTATGGATCGGATCACGCCATGATGATGAAGAACATCTTCTTCGACGGCAAGCTGCCCGGCTCGGTCGCCCTCGGCCTGGACGTCGGCCCCGTTCCCCTTGCGGGCTCCGGCTCGACCGTCAACCAGGTGAAGAGCCTGACTTAGTCCATCTTCCCTTATCCTGCACGCATACTGTTTTCGATACTCATGTTTACACCACCTCAGGGCTCGCTCTTCCGCGAGCAGGGACGCGAGCAGAGCTTCTGTCCGTCGTACCGCTTCATCACCGATCTCGCTCAGGTACGCGCTCGATCCATAAAACCTACGCTCTTGCTCGCGAGAATGCTTTCTTGCACCGCGCGACGAACTGGGCTGATCAGCCCTGGCGGCTACCCGCACACAGGACTGGGCCTACACCGCTATTCCCGGTGCCATCTCCGGTCGGCGGTTCTCGGGCCTCTACATGGACTTCTCCTTCTTCCGCGGGCTCTACAAGAAGGTCTCAGCTGCGTAAGCGACGTCGCTTGCCTCTGCTCGAGCTCACGTTCCTTTTTACGTTTTCTCCTCTCCCTCGTTCGGTCTTGCTCCGGGCGGCAATCTGTTTGCTGCGGCACAATTTTGGCTTCCACGTGTTCGTTCTTCACACTTGGCCGCACGAAGGAAAGAACGAAAGCGACGAGAAAAGATGGAGGGGGGCGGGATGGGGTCGCCGATGACCGAGAAGCGCAGGGCTGGTATCGCCAAGGTCAAGGAACTCTGGCGCCAGAAGGGCAAGGGTGGCAACGTGGACAAGAAGGCGTGGACCATCTTTCTTTCGTCGGGCCGCTCCTTCGAGGAACTCTTTCTCGGAGACTCGTCCGACTCCTCCAGCGACGACAACAGCCACCATGACCAGTACTCCGACTCCTGCCCAAATCGATATCCACATTATTTAACGTTATTGATTAAATAAATATATATTTCTATTTTTGAATGGCAGGTACTGGGACCCGGCGTGGATGAAGGACGAGAACGAGGAGCGCAACCGGAGACGGTGGGAGCGCGAGGAAAGCCAGCGCGAGCAGGAGTGGCGGCGTAAGCAGGTACCGTTGTTAGGTCCTTACCACCTGCAACCCAATTGGGATCGACGCTGATGATCCCGAACGATTGCGTCGTTTTTGTTGCAACAGGAGGAGCGAAAGAGAGCCGAGCGGGAGGCCTTCATGCTGTGGAGCAAGCGATGGGACGAGCGCAATCTCGCCCTGCGGCAGGGTCGCACACCCCGCGGCCGATCGGCCCCGAAGCCTGCTAAGAACGGAAGCGACGAGCAGCCTGTGCTAGCCACATTCACAGGGGACAGGAGGAATGAGAAAACTGACGAGAAGACGAAGAAGAAGCAGGGAAAGAATGAAAGCGAAGGCGACAACGACGAATCTGGGGAGAGGGAGAGCACCCGGGCCAAGCTGTACTTCATGTTCGGGGAGTCGTCCGCCGAGGAGGAGGAGAGCGAGGACGAGCGGAGGGAGCAGCGGGAGTGGGCCGAGGAGATCCAGGCGGCCGAACAGCGCATGGAGCAGGGCCAGAGCGTCGTGGCCAGCAGCTTCAAGCGGCGCAGGGAGCAGTTCTACGAGAACCGGCGCAGCACGAGCGACCTCTCCTCCGGCGAGATCGACCTCGTCGACGACGCGCAATCCACCAGCGCCAGTCACGCCAGCCACGTGACCTGCACTAGCACCACGCCCGTGGGCAAGTCCCTGCTGCTGGGGCATCAGACGCTCGTGACGTCGGGCAAGCCCACCGGCAGCGACGAGGAGCTCGAATCCACCAAAGGGACGCGAGAAAAGGGGTCTTCTGCGGCGAGGAAGACGCCGACCAAGGATGGAGACGAAAAGGGGCTGAGTAAGAAGGTGAAGAAGGGCTCCTTCCGAATGCCCTCCTTCCGCCGGAAGAGCGAAGCGCAGCCACCACCAACGCCACTCCCAACAGCGGCGCGGGCGGCGGAGGCCTCGGTCCGCCAGTCCCGCGGCAGTGCGATCTTCGGCCGAAGACAGGCCGGCGGCGACAAGGTCCAGCTCCAGCACCGCTTCCGGTTACGGCGAGTCCTCTCCAGTGACCACCTTCCCGTACAGGAAGCCTCCGCCACGTAGGGCCGGAGTTGTTTTCTTTCGCCTATTGGATCCCATTGTAGGATCTTTCTCCAACAACGTCGGACAGCCAACACGTTGCTCCCACTCCAGAACTGATCACCAATTGATATCGCCAGCACCCACTCGTCTCACTCCAACTACAGAGCCAGAATGACAAAGCCTCCAAGGCCAGATGTGGGCGCTCTGGCTGCCGCACCCGAGTGCACGATCTTGGAGCCACCGCAGTCTCGTTCCTTCGACTTGATGTGCTGATCAGCGGGCGTGGCGAGACAGAGTGGATCCACTTGTCGTCGGAGGTTGTCCTGTTGGCGGCCTCTCGGTGGACCAACCTGTACAGTGCCACCATTCTCGAGGGCACGAGCTGCGACGGCAAGCCTGCACACGTGATCAACGCATTCCTGGAGCGCTTGGGTCGTCCTGCGGCAGCCACGCTCACCCAGCTTGCGCTGCTATGGCAAATCGCGGAAGAGCTCCGTGAAGCTTCTGGCCGTGTTCCCGGCGCTCAGGTGTGTCAAACAAGCACCTCACATGTGAGTGATGAGCCAAGTCACCAAGCCGGCCTCTAACTCACGCTGGCCTCTCTCTCATTCAGATCCCTCAAGCTGCATTCCTCGGCCTAGCCTCAAGACAAGGACACAGAAGCGTTGGATCAGCTGGCCAAAGTGTGCCCACAAATCGAGGTACGTACGTGTCTCTTTTTAGGGTTCAAAGCGAGGGGTGCGCACACTTGCACTAACCTAACCCTCTGTGCCTGTGATCACAATGGTAGTAAGTTTAACGCGACTCTTAAGTGCCACCCCTTTGAGGACCGTGGCAGCACTTGGTTGACCCCCCAACCTGGAGGAAAGAGAAGAGGAGTTGCCAAACAGTGCCAGAGGTGTTCCCCAATCTGTGCAAGTGCATATTGACGGGTGCACTGTGTGGAGGGCACTCGCCAACCTGCATGCCAGGGGCCGCCTCCAGCAGCTCCCTGTCCTATCAGCTCGTTCAACCATGGATGGCGGCCAAGGAGTTTGTCTTGCTTGAGTGTCCCACCTTGAAGTTAGGTTCGCCTGGGCAGATGCCCAACTGTGAGCCCTTGCTCTATCTCATGATTAAGACCCCAGCTCCATGACCAACAACCTGGCTGGGGTGGAAGCAGTATGAGCAACCAACAGACAAGCACCCTGACCACACTCAAGTGTCTGTGCCTCAACAAGTGCACAGTGACCATAATTTGGACAGCCTCCCTCCAGGCTCTGCCACACCTCACCAACCTGTCATTCACCTCATCATCACCAACAAGGACAACAAGGGGACCACTACAACAGTGGTCCAGTGTTGTTAGCTGTGTGTACTGCTTTGACATTGGTATTCCCCAACTTTTGTTTCCACCTAGAAGATATGCAGCTTGGGTGAGTTATGGTGTGGTGTGCCAAGCACTGTTCCACATAGGTCATCAGCTGCCTGTCTCCCACCACCTGGACAAGACACATGCCATCAGCTTCACCATGCCATGGTGATCTATTGCCCTTTTGCCAGGTGAAATGCTTGAGAGATGTTTGTGTACCTGGAGAGTGTGTAGATGGGGCATGCCTGGACGAGATGCTCCAGGTGTTCCACAGCAATGAGGCTCCAAGATGCTGTGTGGGGAAACACCAGAAAAGAAAAATCTGTGCGCATTGGCCAGTTTCGCTTAAATACAGTTTTTTGCTTCTTTTTTTAATGACGATGGAGGGGAAGAGCGCCTCCGGCGGAGCGGTGCGCTCGGTTGGCGGGCTGGCCGCCCTTGGCGAGTCCCTGTTCGATGCCTGCGTCGTGGCCTTGGCCAGCTTCATGCCGACCACTGCCGCTGCGTTTGTCCCCCCCCGGCGCCTCCGCCGGAGTTGTGTGTTTGGCTGAAGAAAAACCACGACACGACGCGCCTCACAGGGGAGAGGTGGGCAGAGCGGTGGGCGGTGATGGAAGCGTGCGCGTGGCGAGAGCCATGGCCCGGTGGCAGCTCGTCGACAACCGCACATTCAGGTTCTTGGCCGCCCTATCGGCGCACTTTCCTGCCGACCAGGCCCACCACCTCGACCTCACGTATGCCTCGCCTCTTGCCACCACACTTCCTCCTGACAAACGGAAGATGAAAGAGGATGCCAACAAAACGTGCTTTCGACGTATTCGGTGGTGGCCAACGACAGCAAATGGAGGCACGTGTCGCACGAGGTGCTGATCACGACGGCCTGCCGGTGGCACAACATCACCAGCATCGATGCCTCCGAGTCAAGGTATGCACGCCAGCGGCGCCCCTTGAAGACAATATTCGGCGAAACAAATGCTCACTCGCCCGAGCGCCCAGGGTGGACGAGGAGTTCCTGGTGAAGCTGGGGAAGAGCCCAGCCGCCGCCACGCTCCACACGCTCAATCTCCACATGTGCTCCTACATCGACACGCAGAGCCTGGAGCACCTGTGCGCATTCCCGGGTCTCAGGTCTGGTCTTCTCCCTCTTGACCAAACGTTTGCACTCAATCAGCTCTCACACGGCGTGTGCGGCGGCGTGCTTGTGTTGTGCGATGGTGCGAATCGTGCCGTGTGTGTCGTGCGCGTGTGCGATAGGCGCTTGACGGTGGGGATGAGTGGCAGTATCAAGCAACATGTCTACGACGTCGTGGCCGCGGCCTGCCCACAACTCCAGGTACGCTGTACCTACAAGGCGACCACCCCAGTGTTGACCAGCGCCCAACGGTCCGTCCCTACCACCGCTCACAGAGCCTCAGCGTCTCGTCGAGCAACCTGCGCCCGTGGACTGCCGACGCCATCGCGCGTCTGCCCAGCCTGACCAGCATTCACTCCGACACGGTCTCGTTCGCCGAGCTGGCTCGGCTGTTCGACTCCGGGCTCCTGCAGCGCTTCACCACCGTCTCGGCCTGCTACTGGGACTCGCTGCCCAGCCCGGCCCAGTTGGGAGCCATCCTGGCTGGCTGCCCCAAGCTCGAGTCCGTACCTCGGCTGTCGATGCCCGGCGTCGAACGACTCATCAGTCGCCCCACCGCCGCCATGTATTCACCGACCAATGAGCTGCAGATCGAGAACGTGGTCGTGTGTGGTCCGTTCTCGGGGTCGTGCGGCGCCCAGCTACTTGCGTGCTTCCCGCGGCTGCGGCGACTGGAGCAGGTCAGCAGCACGCCTGTGTGGTACTCGTTCGGTGAGCTCTGCGCGGGCCTCCACGGCCTGGACCACCTCGAGGCGCTCCAGCTGGAGTATACCAGCTGCGACGACCAGGCATCGGTGACCAACTGCACCCGTGGGCTTTGTGGGCTCACCGAACTGACCCTCAATCAGTGCCGGCTGTCGGTGGACTTGATCGAGGCGCTCGCCTCGCACCTGAATCGCCTCGAGTCGCTCGAGCTCAACGTGTGTGTCAGCGAAAGCGCGCGCTCGGGGTGGTGCGATGCGCGTGACCGCATGGCTTCGGCCCTGTGCAGGTGGCGCTCGCTCCGTCGCCTGACTCTCACGGGCTTCTTCGTGCGGCGCGACCCGTACCGCAGCTTCGAACAGGCCGGCGACGCTGATGAAGTGGTGCGTCTGCACCACCCGATGCTCGAGGAGCTCTCACTCGACCAGACCGAGATGGGCGAAGCGCCCCTCTACTCGCTGGACTGCCCCGCCCTGCGCACCTGCCATCTAGTCGGCGCAGAGCTCGGCGTCGAGCGGGCCGTGGCCGGCCTGTGCACGGGCTCGCCCCGGCTCGAGTGCCTGACCCTGGGAGTCGATGCCCTGTGGTCCTCGGGGGCCTGGGCGGCCAGCGCCGTCCTCCAGCTGCTCGACGCCTGCCCACTGCTCACCACTCTCCGGCTCGAGTCGCGCACCGAGGCCGAGCCCGAAGGCCTGTACCAGCCCGAGTACCAGCCGCCCACAGCCACCGCCGTCGACAAGCCGCCGCCGCTGCAAGGAGTGCGAGGTGTGTGCAACCTGCAGTCGCTGTCGGTCAGAGGCTTCCGAGGCCGCGCGACAGATAGCGGGCCGTGGTCGCTTGACAAGGCGCTGAGCCGGTGCACCCGCCTAGCATCGCTCACGATCGAGTCGTGCCAGGGCCTGGCCGGCGTTGGCCTCAGGCGGCTGGCCGACCCCGCCGCCAGCATGCAAAGCCTCGAGCTGCGCGAGTTGCGCTTCGCCACTCCCGCGGCCGAGGTGGACGCCAGGCTCATCTTAGCACTGAGTGGCCTTCAAGTTCTCCACCTGGACGCGCCGCTGGGCAGCTGGGAGACATACATCGCCTTCGACGGCCTACGATGGCTGCGCTCGCTGGTCCTCACCGTCAGCCGGTGGCCCGCGCGCGTTGTGATCCGCAACCTACCGCTGCTTCGCCACGCGCAGGTGAGCTCGGAGCAGTGCTATTGGACGCCGAGGCCCGAGAGACAGAAGCCGGGAGCGCTGTCGCTGCTAGTGGAGAACTGCCCAGTGCTCAAGTGTTTGGTGCTGTCGGGCCGAGCGCCGTGCCAAGTTCAGTTCGAGGAGGGCTGCTTCGGTGGCTGCCCGGCGCGTCCGAGTATCCCGCCAGCCTGGGACACGTGTGACACCGACCGCGCCCTGCTTGGAAAGGAGCCCTGAGTTACCCATGGGTAACTGCCGTTTTTTGTACGACGCGAAGCCGTCCTAGCTCAGTCGGTAGAGCGCAAGACTCTTAATCTTGTGGTCGTGGGTTCGAGCCCCACGGTCGGCTATCTCCTTTTTTCCTGCTGGGGCCTGCTGCCTCGGCCTTGGTGCAGCCCCACCTGGCCTTGTCCAGGATCATCACCAGCAGCTCGCGCGGCAGCGGCACGCCGATGGCCGCCACCGAGGCCTCGATGAGGGTGCGCACCACGACCTGCTTGAAGGTGTCCCACTGCTGCTCGGGAACGTCTGCCGTCCCCCCCCCGGCGCCTCTGGCCACATTCTAGAATTCCTTTCGTACCTCCTCTTAGCGTGCACGCTAACCATTGCTTTCGCGCAATCAACATTCGGGGGTTGGTGGCCAACAACAGCAAATGGAGGCACGTGTCGCACGAGGTGCTGATCACGACGGCCTGCCGGTGGCACAACATCACCAGCATCGATGCCTCCGAGTCAAGGTATGCACGCCAGCGGCGCCCCTTGAAGACAATATTCGGCGAACGGCCTTGAACACTGGGATGTGTGTCCAGTAACTCTGATCAATGCTTGCGAAGAAGGGGCGGCTTTACCCATGGTACCTGTGGGTGTCTGAGTTGGGTGAAGAGGCACCACGACATCCAAGCCTTCCTCACCCTCACGCTGTTCATCATCCCAGCCATCAG